CCATTCCCACTGTTCTGAATTCCCAAACAGACAAATTAAAAAAAAAATACTAGTAGCCTTACCAAATCAGCGCTCAGAACCTTTTTTTTTTGCTTAGAGGAGGAGGATGGGTGGGAGACACTACCTAGGTAGTGTTTCGGGTAAAGCAACCGCCCAAATATATTACCTCACTTACTCCAAAAATGGAGTCACGCGAGGTAAGACTTTTATAACCGAAAAGCTCACCTTCCCAGGCTGCCCTCGCGCTTCCTCCCGGTTGTTTTGATGTCAGAAGGAATGACAACTAACTTTCATACAGAGGTGGGCAATTGACAATGGCCATCCTTACGTAATGAGTAGTTATCCATGGTCTCTAGCCAAAAGGCTTCAGACAACCGATTGACACAGCATAAGCTACCAAGCCATAAAAATCTGTTTATATCAACAGGTGCTCAGCAGCAGGCAGTAGTCCTTGGCAGCTGGCTCTTTTTGGCAGCAATCCTCGTCAGACATGGAAGATAGATCAGGAGAGGAGGAAAGGATCACGGAAGAGTTCCCTAACACTTCAGCTAGATAGCAGCCTTCACAACTTTGAATAGACACATGTCCTGCCAACAAACTTTTGTCCTCTGGTATCAGCGAACCAAATTCAATTGTCAAAGTCAGATACTTTCTTGGTTGAATTAACTAAAGAATCAATGCATTGCATTGCGGTTAATGTATTAGCATGGATAGAATATTGGTTAACTAACAGAAAGCAAAGAGGGCAGTAAGTGGTTGTTTTTCTGGTTGGTAATCAATGGGCCTCAGGGATCAGTGTTGGGACCGCAATTGTTTACAACTTACATTGATGATTGAGAGTTAGGAACCAAGTGTAGTGTGTCAAAGTTCACAGATGACACTAAGATAAGTGGTAAAACAAAGTGTGCAGAGGCCACTGGAATTCTGCAGAAGGATATAGATAGGTTATCTGAGTAGGCAAGAGTCTGGCAGATGGAGTACAATGTTGGTAAATGCGAAGTCATCCATTTTGGCAGGAATAAAAGCATAATATACTATTATTTACATAGTGAAAAATTGCAACATGCTACTGTGCAGAGGGGACCTGGATGTCCTTGTGCATGAGTTGGTTTGCAGGTGCAGCAAGTAATTAAGAAGGTAAATGGAATATTGTATTTTGATGTTTCTAATGCCCTTCATTGCTAGAGGGATGGAGTTTAAAAGTAGGGAGGTTATGCTGCAGCTCGATGGGGTGCTGGTGAGGCCAGACCTGGAGTACGGTGTACAGTTTTGGTCTCCTTACTTGAGAAATGATGTACTGGCACTGAGGGGGTGAAGAGGCAGTTCGCTCGGTTGATTCCAAAATTGAAAAGGTTGCCTTATGACAAGAGATTGAGTCGACTGGCACTGTACCCATTGGAATTTAGAAGAATGAGGGGGGATCTTATAGAAACATATAAAATTATGAAGGGATTGGTTAAGATAGAAGCAGGGAGGTTGTTTCTACTGGCAGGTGAAACTAGAACTAGGTGCCATAGCCTCAAAATAGTGGGGAGCAGATTTAAAACTGAGTTGAGGAGGAAATTCTTCACCCAAAGGGTTGTGAATCTGTGGAATTCCCTGCCCAGTGAAGCAGTTGAGGCTACCTCGTTGAATGTTTTTAAGGCAAAGATAGATAGATTTTGAATTGTAAAGGAATTAAGGGGTGAGCAGACGGTTAACTGCAGCCGAGTCCACGAAAAGATCAGTCACGATCTTATTGAATGGCAGAGCAGGCTCGATGTGCCAGATGGCTGCTCCTGTTCCTTATGTTCTTAAGTTCTATATCTGAACTGCTTTTTAACAAACTTCATAAGCCACCTGAATTTGGATCTCCAAGGATTCATGTCCTATCGAAAGGATGGTCAGATGGTCGTGTGGGGTGGGAGGCCACGGACTGCATTGCTAGTAAGAAATGAAATTAAAATGTAGGGTCAGAAGGTGTAGAATCTGTGTGAGTAGAGATGAACAATCACGTAAGGTAAAAAGACCACGAGGGAGCTGTGTACAGGCTTCTTAGCAGTAGTCAGAACGTGGGGAAGAAAATAAATCAGGAGATAGAAAAGGCATGTAGGAAAGGCAGTATTACATGGGGGACTTCAAAATGCAGGTGACTGGAAAAATCAGGTTGGTAGAGGGGTATCACATTGGCAGCCTTCTAATCCTCTGGTACTTCTCCAGAATCTAAGGATTTTTGGAAAATGACAATGAATGCATCCACTATCTCTGTAGCTACTTTTTTAGGATCCTCGGATGCAAACCATCAAGGTCAGGGGACTTATCTGCCTTTAGCCGTATCAGTTTACCTAGTACTATTAAGCATTGATAACGAACACCAACGCTTCACCGGAGGCACACTGACGATGTTACCTAGTAGAGTGATGAAACATCTGCAATCAAATTGACCGGCTCGGCGAGCAAATCTACAACCTCATCCACAACCCGAGTATCTCAACAAAACAAATCTTCTCAAAAACTTTGAACTGTTGATATTATTTATGTTGGTGCAGTCGCCCTGCTATAGGAAGGATATCATTAAATTGGAAATTGTGCAGAAAAGATTTACAAGGACGCTAACAGGACTGGAGGGTTTGAGTTATAAGGGTAGGCTGCAAATGTTGGGACTTCTTTCCCTGGAGCATAGGAGGTTGTGGGGTGACCTTACAGAGATTTATAAAATCATGAAGGTCATAGATAAGGTAAATAGCAAAGGTCTTTTCCCTAGGGTAGGTAAGTTCAAAACTAGAGGGCATAGGTTTAAGGTGAGTGGGGAAAGATTAGTGACCCGAGGGGCAACCGTTTCACACAGAAGGTTGTTCGTGGGTGGCAGGTACAATTACAACATTTAAAAGACATACGACTCTATAACTCTGTGCTCAACTCAAGGCAATGGATGCACCACTGAATCATACCCTGCACACCAAAATTCTAGACATCCATTTCCAAATCACTCCATGTAAATTCCTAACCAAATCATACCTGTCTTTGAAAATCTGCTGTGCAATCTTTTGTTCCTTTTTTTTGCCCAAGTCTTGCAGAGTGAAAAGCTTCTTTAGTTGCTCCAAAGATGTTATGCAGGAAGCATTCAGTTCCTGGGGCCTGTCCAACATAGTCTTCAGATGAAGGTCTATGGAAGGCAGAGGTTTATCTGGTTGAAACGCTTTGTAATGAAGACACTGTAAGAAATGACAAAATTAACTTTAAATTTCATCAGTTATCTAACAATAAGTTTGAAGCCTTTTAGTTTTTACAATATCAATTCATTAATCTAAGTAAATAATATAATCTAGATATAAAAACAGAAATTGCTGATGAAACTCAGCAGGTCTGGCAACACTTATGGAAAGAAAGCAGAACCGGACTCAAAATGTAACTCTGCTTTCTTCCCACAGATGCTGCCAGACCTGCTGAGTTTCACCAGCAATTTCTGTTTTTGTTTAAGATCTCCAGCAGTTCTTTGTTTTATCTTTGTTTTATTATAATCCACATTAAGCCTGGTCTAACCTCTTCATGTGAATGGCAGTAGTTCTTTCAAATTTTCTTTGCTGTGTGTGACTGTTTTAATTCAATGCATTGCACCTTTAAAGAGGTTAAGCACATGCAGCATGTTAAAGCTTATGAGCATTTTGCATAGTACCTCTAAAATTGTTGGGTGGCTATGCAAATTGTGGAGTTTAGAGCAGTAATTGGTGAATAATTCTCAAAATAGGCCTGACTGCAGAACAACTTGGTTGTAAAGAATTCTGTAAGAACCAATTTTTTTTTTTATTTGCTCAAAAGACATGGGGCAGCATTTACTGGCAGTCCCTAATTACCCTTGAGAAGGTGCTGGTGAATTGCCTACTTGAACTACTGCAGTCCATGTGCTGTAAGTACATCCACAATGTTGTTAGGGAGGGAATTCTAGGATTTTGACTCAGTGACACTGAAAGAATGGCGATGTATTTCCAAGTCAGGATGGCGAGTGGCTTGGAGGGGAACTTGCAGGTGGTGGTCCTTCTGAATGAAAGTGGTTGAGGGGTTGGAAGTTGCTGTCTTATATATTTGGTGAATTTCTATAATATGTATGGCTGCTACTGAGTATCGGTGGCAAAAATAGTGGATGTCGTGGATGAGGTGGCAATCAAGTACCCATTTTTTCATGTTTGGTTACAGCTGTACAAAACTTGAGTTAGGCCACATTTGGAACATTGCATGCGGTTCTGGTTGCCACACTACCAGTAGGACATAGATGCTTTGGAGAGGGTGCAAAGAAGGTTTACCAGAATGGTGCCTGTTCTGGAGAGTTTTAGTTACAAGGTGAGGTTGGATAAACTGATTGTTTTCATGGGAAAGCCAGAGGCTGAGGGGCGACCTACAGAGTCTACAAAACTATGAGAAGCATAGATAGGCTGGATAGTCCGAGGCTTCTTCCCAGGATGGAAAATTCAACTACGAGAGGGCACAGGTCCAAGATGAAAGGGGAAAATTTTACGGGAAACTTTTTCACACAAAAGGTGGTAGGGTGCCTGGACTGCACTGCCTCTGGAGGTAGTGGAAGCAGGCACATTAGTAATGTTGAAGGCATATCTTGATAGACACATAAATGGGGGGTTAACAGAGGGATAGAAACTGTGCATGGGCAATAAATAGCTCTTTTCATATTTCCTCATTCATTCACGGGACAAGGGCATCACCGGCTGGACCAGCATTTATTGCTCATTCCTAGTTATCTGCCAGGCTATATTCTCTTATATACAAATCACACAATATGATTTAGAACTTGTTTACCTGAAACAACCGCTGAAAGTGAGGATTGGGAATTTTACTGACTTTGAAGAGATCCTCTATTTCTTCACCATCATCCACCACCAAACTCATAGAATCAATCAGAGCATCCACGGCTGATAACTGTTCCTCTGTAAGGCAAAAGAGCCGGTGAAGCGACAGGGATACATTTTATTTTATCTAAGAATGCACTGATTAAAAGAATAGTGAGAGCAGATTCAACGATAACTTTGGAACTGGATAAATACTTGCAAGGTTTACAGGGCAACAAGGTAAGAGCAAGGGAAAGGAATGAATTGGCGAGCTCTTTCAAAGAGTTACAGGTGAAACAGTGCCTTTTGTGCTGTATTATTCTACTGTTCACTTTACAACAAACCAACTTTCAGCAAAAATTCAGTCCAATTACACTAACCATGCCAAAGTTAATTTAGTAATCTAACAAATACAAATCGCAGAGCCTTGAGACTGCCTCTTCATTTGTTTGACTTTAAGGTAAATACTTTGCCACTTAATATGCAAAGTGGACACTCTACGGTAATGTGCAGAGCCATTTGTGCGTATGAAAGTGCATAGTACATGTGAGTCTGCTATTAGGGGTGACTATACGCCTTTTTGAGTTTGCATTATGTATAATGATTGATGGTTTGATCAGTGCAGCCATTATCACGCAGCATTCTTCTGATAAACCCTATTTCAACCTCAAGCTTTCATGAATACTACTTTTGGTCCTGATTGATGTCCAGTTTATCTCTTGGGGATGGTGTCTCAAAGGCCATTTCAAAGATCAACAGAGGGAGGCAATGGCCCAGTGGTATTATTGCCAGACTATTAATCCAGAGACCCAGGTAATGTTCTGGGGACCCAGATTCAAATCCCACCATGGCAGATGGTGGAGTTTGAATTTAATAAAATCCTGGAATTAAGAGTATGATGACGGTCATTAATGATGACACCATCGTTGATCGTCAGAAAAACCCATCTGGTTCACTTATGTCCTTTGGGGAATGAAATCTGTAATCCATACCTGGTCTGGCCTACATGTGACTCCAGATGCTCAGCAATGTGGTTAACTCTTAACTGCCCTCTGGGCAATTAGGGATGGGCAATAAATGCTGGCCCAGCCAGTGACACCCTAATCCCGTGAATGAATCAAAAACAATTGAGTGTTTGCTGAGGCTCTGGAGTCACATGTAGGCCAGGCCAGAAGAGGATGGCAGATTTCCTTCCCTGAAAGACATGAGTGGACCAGATGGGGTTTTTTTTTGGACAATCGACAATGGTTTCATTGTCTTCAGTAGCGTTTTATTAATTCCAGATCATTTTTTTATTGAATTCAAATTCCACCATCTACCACGGCTGGATTTGAATCTGGGTCCATTAGCTGAGTTTCTAGATTAATAGTCTAGTGATAATACCACTAGGCCATCGCCTCCATCATCTCATGTGCATTTTCTCTGATAATTTACCTCTTCACTCCTCCATGGTGTCTCTTTTTAGAAAATAGAAGTCATGCCCTTTAGGGGTGAAAACAGGTTCTGAATCTTTTCAAATTTTCTTTGAACACAATCTACCAATCTCTATCTTTGAACCATTAACACAGCCATGTTTACTGTGTATAGCCTCATCTCATTGAAATAATCCTTAACAATATTTAAAACGTCAGTAGCTCTATTGCTTTTCTCTCATCCAAACACTATTATCTAATATTAAATATTTCCTTGTTGGCTCTGGGGCATATTGCTGCAGAATGCTATCCTGGACACAGTCTGCAAATTAATAAGATTTCATTGACTCATTCTATATCAGGATTTAGTTATTGATCATACCAAACAACACTTCCCATGTCAGCTCAACTCCCCTGTCCAAGCAAGACCACCTGAACTTGATCAGCTTTGCTGGCAGTTTTACATCATTTATAAATTTTGACTTGCATTACTGTAACCCCTTCCAAGTTCATGAAAAGTCCAAACTGCCGCTGTTTGTTTCTGTCCATAATTTCCACTAACCTGATGCTGTTCCTTTCTTACTTTTCTTCAAAGAAGTGAAAGTAAACTGTCGGAGATCCTCCATGAATGGGAGTTGGATGTAAACCAAATACTGAATGGAGAAGAGTAAAACTGTGGATGTTAGTGAAACAGTAAGTTTTCCAAAATGAATGAAATTACACACACACACACACACACACACACACACACACACACGGATTCAAATTCCCTCCCAATATCTGAATAATTTTGTTTAATTTTTAGAGATGCTGATGGCTTTGGTGTATTTACATTTTGTCTTCTCATACTTTTTAAAAGTGTTCCAGCCTAATTTCAGTTTTCACTCTTTCCGCATACTCAAGAGTCTGGAACATTGTCTTTACATCTGCCATTCATTCCTATCTTTTTACAAAAGAACAAAGGACAAAGAAAATTACAGCACAGGAGCAGGCCCTTCGGCCCTACAAGCCTGCGCCCATCCAGATCCTCTATCTAAACCTGTCGCCTATTTTCCAAGGATCTGTATCCCTCTGCTCCCTGCCCATTCATGTATCTGTCTAGATACATTTTAAATGACGCTATTGTGCCCGCCTCTCTCACCTCTGCTGGCAATGTGTTCCAGGCACCCACCACCCTTGGCATAAAGAACTTTCCACGCATATCTTCCTTAAACTTTTCCCCTCTCACCTTGAAATCATGACCTCTAGTAATTGAGTCCCCAACTCTGGGAAAAAGCTTCTTGCTATCCACCCTGTCTATACCTCTCATGATTTTGTAGACCTCAATCAAGTCCCCCCTCGATCTCCGTCTTTCTAATGTAAATAATCCTAATCTACTCAACCTCTCTTTATAGCGCCCTCCATACCAGGCAACATCCTGGTGAATCTCCTCTGCACCCTCTCCAAAGCATCCACATCCTTTTGGTAATGTGG